TTACATATAAAAGCAACAACATAGTTATCGGGTTGTTTTCATACAAAATAGCATGCGAATACCTCATTTAAGTGGTGTAGTCGCTACCTTCAATGCTATCAAGTTCTGTTTTACATATTTGACATTCGTTTTACTAATATATATAGCTCACATGACAAAAAAAATAAAAATTTCTTTTTATTCGTTGATTCTAAAAACTTAAGACTTTAACATAACGTCCTTCTTATTGGTAGACTGGCACTAGTTGTTAAACATTTAGTTCAAAAGTGGACCCAAGATAGGCGGCACTAGTCCAAAAAAAGTCGCCAGGACGTTAGTCTTTACAATCATTATTGTATTCAGAAAACTGTTTGTCTAAAAATTCTCCGTTACTCTATAATAAGAAAATATATGTGACTGAATATTTAGACATATTGAATTACAACCATTCCATCCTGTAGGGGATGATCCCTGTCCTCTTCAGGTACTACGTTGAACTAGAAAAAAGAAATTTTCGGTACGATACCAATCTTTAACAGTACTATTCATTTCAATGTACAAATTTTGAATTTTTTGATTGATCGTGAATGAATAAAAAATTGTAAATAATAATTCGTTTCGTTGCATACTTTTAGGCGCATGTAAAGCTAATTGTCATCAGTCTATACCGTCGCCTGCCTACTGTTTATACGATTCTACATATGCTATTTTCTAAACATTCATATTTTTAAAAAAATATTGTACATATTTTGGAAAAAGAATTATAGTCTTATCCAAAATTGTATCTAACACGATTCAGAAACCGCAAATATTACATCTAAATTTTAGTTATCAAATAGCCCATTGCACCTAACCAGTGGCACAATTTATAATATTATATCTGATTTTATGTACAAAAAAACATATGTATGTATGTATGTTTAAATACGAAAATAGTGTTTATATGTATATAAAAAAGAAAAATGCCTGCAGTAAAATATTTTATCTGAAATACCTGTTTTTTTGTCATTTCTATTTTAAATTTTTTCTTCGTAATTATTATTATATGATTGTTTCAAAAAAATGTTATTCACACTTGTTAAATATATTGCGGTCATTTTAATGTTCCAAACTATTACAATAAAAATAAATATAATGAATAAATAATTTGCAAACCGCAAAATTTTTTGTTTTATTAGCAAAAATTATCAATGTTGTAACTAAATTGCCGTTTTGTTTGATATACAAGTAAATATTATTTTCATAATATGTAAGCATAAGGCTAGAGCGAAAAAAATTTTTTGTTTTTTTTTTTGCTTAGCCTGAGGGTAAAATTTGTAGATAATACAATTTTTTGTTCAAAAAATTTTTTTAACACTCAATTTTAAAGTAAAGTTTCAAGTTAAAACTTGTATATCCAAAAAAATTTTAAGTGTTCTAGAAGCTGTGGAGAGTCCTCTTTACGCCGAATTAAACTTTATCAACTTTAAAAAAAATGTTGTGATCATTCTAGAGGTTTTAAAAAAAAGTTTTAAACGACAACATGCTTTCCTTAAGCGTTAAAATAAATTTTGAGTCAAAATCGTCACATTCGGTAATTTTTATATAAATGTAAAGAGTTTAAACCAAAAATAATTTTTTTTGTCCAAAAAAAATTTTAACTCGAAATTTACATTAAAACTTAAGGCTGCCTCTAGATGTTAAAAACATTTTTTTTTTGTCCAAAAATATTTTTTGTTTTATAATCTATAAATTTTACCTTCAGGCTAGCAAAAAAAAGAAATTTTTTTTTCGCTCCACCGTAGTAAGCACAGATAGAGCACTTTTTTGGCGATTAACCGCGATCAAATAAATTATAAAATATTTAGCTAATAATGTTGTTTGGATTTTTTTTTTTTTTGATTAAGTTTTTGGTTGCCGAAACAGCAAAATTAATTGAAAAGTGTTGTAGTGCGAATATTTGCAATCAAGTGCTTTATATTTTTTAATATTTCATACTTATAGACAATTAAGACCGTTAAAGCAATTTGAAGTGCAAATCAAATTAAATTTAATAAATTTTGAAGACGATCTTTGAAGTGGCTTTCAAAATAAATTAATTTAAATGCAAGTTGTAGTTTTGAGTGATTTTTGTAAACTAATTAGGTAGAATGTTTGAATGTTTACTTCATATGACTTTTCCATTGTAAATATGAAAATAGAATGCCCGTTTGTTGAATAATAAAACTACTAAAGGCTGGTATGAAGTTTATGATTTGATGCGTTAAAATAATTAGTTTAGTATTTGCTCACCGCCATGGAAATTGCAATAACCGATTTCTCTAAGTTAGGAGCACTAAAATATATTGAAGTTTTGGATGTTGTTTTTTTTTTAAATGCCAAAATGACTTTCGTTTTTTTTGTGGTATCGTTACTTGCTACGGTATCGATTTTTGACATTTTGGAAGCGATTCTGTGAATGGAATTTCTTAAGTAAAATAAATTTTAATAAAATTAATTTGAGTTAAATTATAATAAATTAAATTAAATAAAAGTAAATAAAGATAAGTTAATAAAACAAGATAAAAATTCAAACTAAAATGAACAATATAAAATAAAATAAAAATAAAATAAAATAAAGATTCAATAAAATAAATTTACAAAAATAATGTAAACAAATTAAATTATTGTACATAAAAAGTAAAGAAATAAAAACAATTTAAAAATAATTAAAGAAAAATTTAAATTAAATAAAGTTAAATAAAATGGAATTAAATAAATAAAATAAAAACTAATTGAAACGAAATTTTAAAAAGAAATTAAAAATAATATATTTAAATAAATAAAAATAAAATTAAATAAAATTGAATAAAATAAAAAAATACAATTCAATCAAATCAAATCAAATAAAAAAATAATATATGGTACATAAAATGAAAAAAAACTATAAATAAATAAAATAAAATAATATAAAATAAAGTAAATAAAATTAAACTAAATTACGTTAAAATTTTTGAAAATAAAATA